CTGTGTCACCGCTTCGTCCCCTGGCTGTGGCCGAGCGTGCCGTGAAGACGGGCCGTGCCGGGCTGGTTGCCAAGCCGGCGTGCAGCGCCGATGGCCACCTTTGCCCCGGGTTTCAGTCCCGTTCTGCAGCTGGGGCTTATGCACTCGCCCTGCTGGTCGCCTCTCCCCAGAGGGACGGGGGCCACTGCAGCCCCCCCGGCACAGGAGCAGTCCCGCCAGTGGGCTGGCTTTTCGTGCCAGGCTGAGAGGAATCTTTAAGCCGTAATGAAATGTTAATAGTATTTTCCAACTCAATACGGGAGTAGAAAATGAGGTGTTTAACGCTGGGCTCCGCAGCGACAAGAGCAATCAGCCTGAGAAATGGGAAGCCGGGGACGCAGCACCAGCCTCGGCACAGCCTGACAGCCCCGTGCTGCCGGGCCTGCTCCAGTGATGGATGGGGTGCCCGTGCCTGGCACAAGCCACCTGGCCAGGGAAGCACAGTGCTGGGATGGTGCAGGAGAGTGGCTGGCGGGGTAATGCTGAATCTGCTTGGGTCTCCTTGGGTCTCGCCGGCAAGGTCACTGCTGGACGACTGGTGAGAGCTGAGCAGATCGAGGTGGTTGTGGGGCTGGGGTGCCCCGGGGAGCAGCAGACCAGTGGGACCCCAGGTCTGTGCCCTGCCATGGCCCATATCAGCTGGAGAGGGAGTAGGTTGGAGCTGGTGCCCAAGCAGCTGCCACGGGCACAGCCCAGGCATTGCTGCTCTGAGCACCATGCTCGCTGGTGGATGACTGCTCTGCACCAGCACTGCTCTGCCAGGGTGCATCCGTGTGCCCCTATGTGCAGGTGTGCATCCGTGTGCCTGTGTGTATGTGTGCATCTGTGTGCATGCATCTGCTCCGCGTATCCGCGTGCGTTGTGTGCCCCTGTGCATCCGTGCGCATGCGTGTGCCCGTGTGCTTCTGCCCCATGCATCTGTGTGCATGCGTGTGCCTGTGTGTGTTGTGTTTCCACATGCATCTGCCCTGTGCATCCATATGCCCGGGGCCATCTCCACTGGCCGCTTCAGCAGTGCCTCCTCCCTGGCCTGGCGTGGGGCTCGGTGCTGGGGACGGCTCTCGGCAGCAGTGGTGGCAGCCACCGGCTGATCCCTTCCAGATGCGGCTGCTGGGAGCCCGGCTCTGTGCTGCCTCCTCGCCAAGGCCCCCATAGGTTTTTGGTCCGTGGCTGCTGGAGCCGTTGGGGCAGACAAAGCAGCCGCCCGCCCGGG